AAAAAAAAAAAAAAAAAAAAAAGAAACGCTTCGTGCAGGATAAATTGGTGTATTCGAGGCGTTAATGCACCATGTCCCCCATCGATTCTCTTCTTTTGTTGAGTTACACATCCAGTTTGAAAAGTTGCCAATAAAAGGCACAGCGAGGCGCGAGAATCCGCCCGACCTCTATCCACCGCAGTTTGTATGTAAATGCACGCGTTACAACGCGTATGCACGTTCCATATCCCCGACGGCGGTTTCGGCCCTGTAACACGCGATTTTAAAATGCACGACGCTCGTGGCATGCGACGATATTAAATATTGTTTACGTTACAATAATTAGTTAGTACAATTTGTCTTTATCTCGCCAAACGTGATAGTTCGGTGTGGCGACACCGCGACACAAAAATTCACGATTAGACTCTACGTGGCTAATGGCAAAATACGTTTTCTCGACCCTTCTATTCGTGATTCCTCGCGAAAAATTTTATCGTTCGCAAACGAATACTCCAATAAAGGGGACGATAAGAGAGACAATCTACGTCCATGGGATCTCATTACGCGGATGCGTGCTTTATATACGAGCGATCCGTGGGCGTGCACGCGTAAACTCATGAAAAAACGATTAGGGTTGTTGGCATGAGTTTTATCGCGCCGCAGGATTTATTGTTGCCGGTCGCCGGGAAGATGGGGGACAGCGACATCGGGAAATCGGCACGACTCCCTCGTTTTTTCTCGAAGCAGATGCCTCCAACAAACTTTGATGGGGGTGACGGGGACACGTCAATGCCGCGTGCCAGCGGAAAAAAATTGAGTAAATCTTACATACGGAGTTTGTCGTGAAACAAAAAAACGATCTAACTTTAAGGTTCGATGGTGGAAACAGCTACTGAAATATTTCTCAACGAGTTTTAACGATCTAATTAGCTGTTTCGTATGTCGCGAGTATGGCGAGAAATATCCCCTTCCGAAATTCGAGGCGAGACACTCGGTAAGTGTCGTTTGTCAGCGACTCGTAATGAACATGGGAAGCCGCTCGAGTGCACGAGGAGATCAGGCAGGTCGGAGAACACAAAAAGCAACGACGAACGGGTGAAAGGGTTGAAAGAAGATGAGGGTTAGAGGGTGAGAGGTCTTGCCGGATCGTTCGACAAACTACTTGCGGAGGATCCATACGTGCTCGCCACTCGGCCACTCGTAACTGGCATCCCTGCTGCCAGTTATGTAATATTAGCATGAGGGATTTCGAAGTCACGTCATTACGATGTGCGCTGGTTACATGCGGAAAACGCATTAGCATGCGTGTACATCCACGAATCGCGCATGCAGACGACTACATACTAATCTCAGCAGTTTCTCATTAGTCGGAAAGCCGCCTTAGCGACATAATTATCTGATCTGATTGACTTTCCCTTTACGTGGCCGTTTACGTGACGATAAGTAATAATTAACTAATTCCTGCGCTCCCGAACGCGTTAATCTCCTCTATCGGGACACATTTCCTCTCGATTCTTTTCCTAGCGACCTAGTCGTGAGGGAAAAGGACTCGGACAGAAGCGTATTAAAAACGTTGCGCTTTTCTCTCGAAGCGTTTTGCTCACTTTCTTAACTGCTGAAAGACGCGCTTTTAAAAATAGAAAAGAATTGAGATTTCCCTTTTTAAAGAATAATCCAATTTAACCGAGAGAGAGAGAGAGAGAGAGAGAGAGAGAGAGAGAAGGAAAGGGAAAGAGAAAGACAATAA